CTGGACAACTTGGGACAGTGAACAAGATAGAGAGGAGCCTTCAGACCTTTACCAGGTCAGGATATTTCTTCGTTCTCTGCAGTAAAAGTTACTTTAAAACTGAAAAAAAAAACAGTTTTTCTTTCCTTCAGCAGTTGCTATAAGCTGCGAGTTTTAATTGTTAAAATCAGAGATGGTTTATAAGTGAACCAGCCACCCTGTGCATCTTTCAACCCAGTGGAAGCGTCCATAGACGGATGACTGAGAATCAATTTTCTGACCAGATCAAGGATTATAAGAATCATCACAGCAAGCCTGTAAACTGAGACCACTGAACTGCCTTCCCAGTCTCTCTATCTGTCCATAATATCCATGACCTTTTTCCCTGTGTGTGTGTGTGTGTGAGAGAGAGAGAGAGAGAGAGAGGGGGAGTGAGGGGGAGGGGGAGTTTATAGGGTGATTAGAATTGTAACAAGTAGATTTATCAAGCAACTATTCATAGTTGCAGCTAAAGTATATTTACTTTTAATACATAGTAATTCGTGTCAGAAACCTAGTTTCTTGAAATTTGGGTTGAAAAGACATAAATTATGGTATTTTATGTGCTTCTGTAAAATCTTTAACTTTTGAGATAATGGATTATAGCAGAGCTTGATTTCAGTGCATTGCCCCAGTGAGCCATAACAAAGGAAAGAAACTATTCCTAGTTAAAGTTTTACTCCTTAATCAATGTCATAAAAAGAAATAGACTATCTGTAATTATCACATTGTTGTTTATGGGAGTTTACTGTCTGTAAGTTGCTTCAGTAAATTACAGAAGTGACTTAGAGGTGTTACTTTCCTGGTAGCCTAAACCCTGCCTGTACTTTTTGATGGCCATTTAATGCCCCATGTTACCGTTTTGAAGATGTAAAGGCCTTGTCTCTTTATTTTTCAATTTTTAATTGTGGACTGAAATGAGCAATGATCCATTTTAAAGCCAAGGATTGCCAGAGAATTATGGCTCCATTTCAATGGTAGATTTGGATGCAGGATGGAGTTCATTTTGCTGTGGAAAGAAAATCTTTGCAGCTGTGGATTCAACTATGACAAACATGTCATCTAAATATTGTGCAAGGAAAAAGGATAGGAGGTTAATCGTCATTCCATCCAAGATGCACATCTCATGGTAACCAACAAAGATGTTAGCAAGAGCTGGACCTCAAGGGGACCTCAAAGTGCCATTGAAATTGAATTTAACTGCACAAGTTGCTAAGTTTATGAGTTCAATAAACATAGATTCAGATACCGATGATACATCTGCATTGCCATGATATAATGACATAGTGCGAAGGTAAATGCCTTCTTTGAGTGATATTCTGGCCTAGAAGTATTTCAATGTGCACTTGTGATGCCAAGGTATGCAAAGCTATGGGCCAAGTGCTGGAAAAGGGGGTTGGAATAGTTAAGTGCTTGTTTTTGACCAATGTCGACTCAATGAGCCAAAGGGCTTTTTTTGTCCTGTAGACCTCTGAGCTGGGAATGTCAAAACAGCACATGGACATGCTGTATCTCTTAATATATTGGTCTTCTGCAGTCTTAGTGAACATGAAAGAATCCCTCATCCTGTATGTGGAAAACTCATTTAGAACTGATTCACCAGTTCATACAATCAATTGTCCAATTCATATTGTGCAGAGTCAGCCATAGATAGAGTAGGGCATAAAGCAATATTGCTTTGTGTGTTTTTAGCAGTTCATAGATGCATGACCACAGTGAGCCATAAAGACTGAATTCTATCATATCCCGTCATCACTGTTATACAAATCCAACATGTACCTCAGCAACTTGCTCAGTGTGTCTGTTCATCCATGTATAGTGGGAAGTCCTATAGATCAAACAATCTTTGAACATATGATGCATTTCGTTGATACAATCACATTTGTTGAGTATGACTACTCCTGTCCCTTTGTTGAGTTTACATATTTGCATATCAGGGTTTGCCAGGTGGTTACAAAATGCTACAAACGTTTTGCGTTCTTTCAGGTCCACAAAATGTGTGTGCCAGATCTGCTAGGACTGCTTTCAGGCCCTCCAACTCTTTGTTGGGCAGTGGTTTGTGATAAGATAACTGATAGCGGTGCAGACTGGAAGTTAGGTGCCAGCATGGTCTGAAAGTTTATTTCTGTATTGTCTAAGATCTTGTAACTAAAGAAGCTGAGCCTAGGTACTTTTGTATCCAAGTTGGCGCTGTATAAAATTTTCACTAAAACCATCGAGCATATGCGACAATAAAAGCTGTTCTATTCTGTTCTAATGAAGGAGCTCAACTCAGCAAGTACCTCTTCATAATTAATGTGCGATATGGATGCACTAAAATTTTAAGCCATGAGCCAGAACAAACTCCTTATGTTCAGAGAGGACACGGTCAGAGAAATTTATCATGTGGTTGGTGGCATTTTTAATTGTGCTACCAAGCTGCTTTGGTTTAAGTAAGTTTATAGTGTAGGTATGGTTTATCGTGTGGTTGTCCATAGTAGTACATTTGTAGTGGTACAAATGGATTAAATAAAAGACTGAAAGAAATTTGCATGCTTCATAACAAGCATGGAGTAAGTCACGATGTAGATGAGTAACCCTGCCAGCAGTCTGTTCAATCAAATAATTTCCACGGGAGGCAAACCACTCCTTCGGACCTGGTCATGACACATGACCTGCTTATCACTCAACTCGTGCGTTAGAGGTCAGTGCACGTCGGGTTGGGTGCTGTGCTCTTTGTGGCCCTCCATGGTAGTGATTTCCCTCTCTGCAGTAAGACATGTACTCACATTCCAGAGAGATGGCACCACTCAGGACATAGATGGATTCCTCCACTGATTTGACAGGGGTGTGAACAACCTCTCTGAAATCTGACAGTTATCCACACATCTCCAACTACCACCCCAGTGTCTGCTAATCTGTCAATGACTTCCAAGAGTTATCACCCGAGTGAAGCTTCGTATCTAAGCCTGTATGCAGTTCTCTGATGGGGAATAACTGTCACTACCTGTTGTGTGCATTATGCCCTGTTCACCAGTTGATGGCAGCCTTTCTAACCATGGTTCAATACCTGCTGATATGAGTGTATCTGCACTGAGGATGAGCTTGTATGGTGTGAGATCTAATCAGTTGGCAGATCTTCCTTTCAGGTCACATGTGTCCTAAGATTGCTTTTGGTCCTTCGTCTAGACCTGTGGATGATTTACATCTTCAAGAAAACGTGTGCTGCATTACCCTGATCTCGAGTCTTTATCAAAGCAGAGACACTATAGCTAGCATGGGTCAGAAGCATTGACCCTTGCACTCATTGCATAAGTTCCTCTGTGTGGGCTCTACACCCACCCCTTTTCTCAATAATAGTGTTGCCCTACTGCAATATGTCTTGCTTCCATTGGCTCCTCCACTATCAGTCACTTCTCCATTGAATGATGCACCACTTCCAATTCCTGTCCACTCCCTAGTATTCTTATGGGCACATAGTGTCATTTGTGTTCTGTAATTTAGACGTATTTAATCACTTATGTTCCTTTCTGTGCACAGCACCATGCCAATAGCATGCCTGGTGAAAGCAGCCATTCAGTCTTGCCAATGCAGTGATCTACTCTGGCAAACCATGGGTCTCAGTGTGAGTCAGGCCTTCATCTCCCTCAGGCCACTGGTCCCTGATCAAGCTGGACTGTTAATCCAGAGATCCAGGTAATGCTCCAGGGACCCGGGTACAAATCACACCGTGGCAGATGGTGGAATTTGAATTCAATAAAACAAAAATCTGGAATTAAGAGTCTAATGATGACCATGAATCCACGTCGATCATCAGATAAAACCATCTGGTTCACTAATGTCCTTCAGGAGAGGAAACTGCCATCCTTACCTGGTCTGTACCTCCATGTGACTTCAGACCGACAGCAATGTGGTTGACTCACAACTGCCCTCTAGGCAATGAGGGATGGGCAATGACTGCTGGCCCAGCCAGCAATGCCCACATCCTGTGAATGAGTTTTTAAAAATTAATGATATTAACAGCAGTATCTTAACACAATGGTCAAAAGAGATCTAAGTTAGAACTTCCTGCTGCCTGTCACCAGTTATTGATTGAGTCCCCTGGATGAATGGCCTTTAGTTGGCTGCAGTGGGAAAAATCCAAGAGGATGCTGCACCTCCAGTCTTCCATGTAGATGGACAACCAAGACAAATACAACCCCAGCATCAGGATTTTCTGTCAATTGCAAAAATCCTGTCCATTCTTTCCAAATGTATTGCTTTTCTGTATTTTTTTTTCCTGTTGTCCTTTTTGTTATGCAGTAGATGTCTTACGAAATGGCCTAGCAAGGCACTCAGTCGTATCAAACTGCATGAGCAGAAAACCCGCCATGTTGTATGATGTCATTTAACTGTGAAAGGAACAATGCAAACATATTTTTTTTGAGTTCTTCTATTCTACTTTAATTCATGTGGTTATTTCAAAATAGTTACACCATTGCTGTTGCCCTTACATGATCTGATCATATGACCTTACACTGGCCAAGTTGAACCCTAGTGAAGCTTTTGTAAAAAGCTCATTTCCTGTGTCACTGTGAAATCTGGCTGCAGGAACTTTTGCAAGAAGTAATTCTAGTTTTTTCAGAAGCAAAGATGATATATTTTAAAATAAATGATGAATTTTTCACTTGAAGATTCTCTGACAATGAATGACATACCTGATGTTATGAAAGAGTTAATGATTGCATGGAAACATCTTTAGAATGAATTGTCAAATAAATTGCAAGCCCATCATGGCCCTTTCAAAAAATAAGTGGAGGAATTGGCATCGTTCCAATAGTTACATGTTTCCTGTATTGGTATCACATGGAGCCTGAGTATGATTTAATACTTAATACTTCTTACTAAAGTGTGTGCTTTTTATCTGTATTTTTTTTTCCACATTCCTCTATGTGTCATACATTCTTTCCTTTCTTGAATAGGAAATCCCCCAAATACAGCGATATATAAAAGGACAGAGCTGAATAGAGTCAGTACAGGGCTCTGGCTGGCTGACTGACTGTGCTTAGTCAATAGACAAAGTCAGTCTCTGTTAAAGACTTCACGTTTTCAATATGCAACTGAAAATTGCTGTGGTTCTTGTTCTTTTCTGCGCTGTCTCAGTGCTCAGTAGATCATGTAAGATTCTATATTTAATTTAAATTCATAGTCTTGTGACTGATATTTTAGTCATTTAATAATATTTATTTACCATACCATGTGTTTCACAGTACCATTGTAGAAGGCTGGCAAGGGATATAATGCAACACAAAAACTATAACAATGTCAAAAATAGTCTTTCACAGCATACAGCTGCATAATTTTTAGGATTGACTGGATCATCATTCGAAATATAAAATCATATTTAAAATGTAAGTTTTCTTTTGAGCAAAACTTTATTAAAATTATGTATCTTTCTTTTTCAGATCGAGGTCCTGGAATAGTTTCCACAAACTGCTGTACGAAGGTGTCCCGCAAGCCAATTCCATTTCAGGTTACACACTATAGGATACAGCCAGCATTGTCCCCCTGTGTCGAAGCCATCATGTACGAAACCATTCTGTTTCTTCTAAACAGAAATCTATCCTCGTGTTTAATGGTTTATTTTTAAACATTTCTCATTGTTTCCCTATTTTGTTCTTTTTTTTTAAATAAAAACTTTTTGTTCATTTTCAATTTCTAATGTTCCAACCTTTCGATAAAATTTCCTACAACCTTTCTTTGATTCGTGGGAAAATTGAATGTTGATCAAACATTGAGAAATGTTTTGTAATGATGTTAAATGAAAAGACTTTAACAGCTAACCTATTCTTAAAACTGTCATTTAAAAAAAAATGAAAATAAAATTGAACTGATAAAATTAGCTTATAGTGTACTGTAAGCCGATTTGGATCAATTTATTTAAAAAAAAACATTGTCTAGGGGTTGATTCATGTATAATTATATGCTTAGACAATTTTTAATCCATTTCCCAATGTTTCTATAATGTAATTCCTTCTGCTCTGTTTCAGATTTTACACGGTAGAGAAAGGGCCTTTGTGTGCTGAGCCAAAAGCACGTTGGGTATCAAGAAAGATAAAAGAGATTAAGTAAGTACTGCTTGTGAAATAAGTTAGTACAGGTGGACATTAACATTAAGAAGGTTTAGGTCACATAAAAAGCAAAGCTGACCCTAAATATTACCCTAAAAGCTATATAATAACATTTTTATTCATCATGTTAATCCCTTACTTACCCAAACATCCATAATTAGTTGCAGTCTATGAAAAACTGTAAACTTTTTCTCCCTGTTCATTGTAATACTGTGGCAACTGTCTTTTCTCCCTCTGTCCAGTTTCTGATGTTGAATACCCATTCAATCCTTCTCTGATGTTGCATGTTTTTTCCTGATATTTCACCTGCTATTGTTGCCAAGATGAACCTCTCACTTCACATTTTTCAATGATTGTACTTTCTCAATTTCCACTTCTTCAATTCAAGAAAGACCCTGATTTTCTCGTGGACAAAATCTCTGCTTTACTAATATATATGTATATTTATACAGGTAGCTTGTACTGTCTGTTCCATTACAATGGTTGAATAAAATTGCAAATTGGTTAGATTAGTGCAGGCATCAGACTAAGTAGAGATTCTGACTGTGTTTCTTTAATACGCATTTCTTAACTG